CATGCGGTTTCCTGTAAATTATCTTATGTTAAATTACATATTAATCAATTTATCAAAGTAAACAAATTATTTCACTATAAAAATATAAAATAATCACGCTTATCCTGATCCAAAGGTACGATATATATACCTTATATATATATAATATAGATCATTTATTAAATATAGATAAGTTTATACAATATTGATGCTGACAAAAAAAGTTTATGCAATATTTAACAACAGACTTCAAACTACAATATTAAAATGTTTATCATATATACTTGATGGTAAAAAAAAGGTCTACAGATTTTTATGGCTGTACTTTTATCATATATACCTAATGATTGTTTACAGATTTTTGAATTAATTTTTGTTTTTGATTTTTTTAAACGATTTTTAGACAATCAGTTGTTTAAAAAATAGTTTCCCTATAGTTTAAGGAATTTATTTTTTCTTAAATTTTGCTACTTTTTTAAAGAGAAACCAAAAAACCACTTTTGTTAAGATTTTCAGCGCATCACGTTACTTTTTTTTTCGTTTTGTTCTTTCAAAATATTTTTATTAGTTTTATACTCAGATTTTAGTAAAATATCATATTATATAAAATAAAAAAGTTTTATGTCTAGAAATTATACGTAATTTAGAAAAAATATTGTAAAATTTAATATTTCAATTAATTTTATCTAAATTACTTATAGATAAATAACCATAGAAATATGTGTGCACATTATTAGGAAACAAAACAAAAAAAAATTGGATCTTAATTTATTTTATTTATAATAGAAAGTAATTATATAATACTCATTTGGTTTCTAATGATCCATATTTACAACTATCAACTAATAAAAATACTATGAAAATTTAAAAATGTATCTTTGATTTTTTTTTAAAAAAATATGGATCATTTTAAAAGGAAAACAGTATAAAAATTTCCAATATTTGATAAATTGAAAATATTAGTTGAAATTTTATATAACTATCTTTGTATGTTTGTTCTTACTGATAACATGTTATTTTTTATTATGTTTAAAATAAATATATTATCATTATAAATTATTTTATTTATTAATTTAATCTATAATTTTAAACCAAAAGTTAAAATCTAATACACCATTTAAGTTTTTCAAAAAATCTAAAATATAAATCTAAAACGGAAACTAAACCCAAACAAACTAAACCCAAAAACTGAAAATCAAAAAATCTAAAATTAAAATCTAATTTACCATTTAAGTTCCGTTAATGGCACTGGTACAAAAAAAAAAAAACAACCAAAAACTAAAACCAAACAAACAATCCCACCTATATTTCTTGAAGCAAACTACACTCCAATGGAAATTAAACCGAAAACCAAAAAATATAAATCTGCAAGTGAACAAAACAAAACATCTGTACCTAAATATTTTAATGAAGAAACATATATCTTAATAAATTTGTCAATAAAAAATAATCTCGCGCTTGTAAGACGCGGAACATAATCTAATTATATATTTAATTAGAAGGAAACATAACTAAGAGGAAGGATATAAAAGATAAATAACACAGCAAATGTGTTTCTCATGCAATATGTGTTTGTAATTGAAAAGTCAAAATATATCTTAAGGTGTTAATTTTTCTTTATCCAATCATGTCAGTACCCTGACGCTACAAAGTTTACAGCTAAATTCTTACAGTAACAACTATATATATATATATATATTTCCATATATATATATTTGGCATTGGCCACATATGGGCACATTTGAAAACATATTTGACCTAACCAATATGATCATAGATACTTCCTTGCACAGATAGATAGATATATATATATATATATACATACACAAGTCTCATTAATATTATTCATCAATCAAATTAAAGTTAAAAGTATAGTTACGAAGAGACAGAAGCATGAAACTCATTTTAGAAAAAAATGATGTATGTAAAAGTTCTGATGATGGTAATAGCGATATGGTTCGTCCCCATGAGCTACAGTAATGGAGCTGAAGCACCCACTGGTGATGGAGCTGAAGCACCCACTGGTGATGGAGCTGAGGCACCCGGAACCGACGCCTTCAACAATGGTTGGTATGACGCACGAGCCACATTTTACGGTGACATCAATGGTGGAGGAACTCAAAGTAAGTTTCAGTTACAAGTATATTTTTAGAATCTGATTATTGAAATCGTTTATTATGAAATAATATGTTCCGTTAATGGCACTGGTTCAATCTGCTAAGGACTCATGTTTCATGACATTGTACGCGGTAAAAATATATTCAAAATTATTCTTTTGCACAAGAATTTTTTTGACTAATTAAACACTGATCGAATAGGCCCCTTTTTAAAAATACAGTATAGGCTCAGATACTTTTAAAGGCTAATTTCAGCATATGTGATCGCATCATCATCTATCTTATTAAAAGAGAAACATTAGGATGAACTTAACATTTTTTTTATAAATTATTTCATCTTTCTATTTTATAGTTAAACATATATTAAAATATTAGTATTTCTTTCTTAAAACTACTATCCATTCTTCCAAATACTATATTTATTTCTTTGTACTATTATATATGTTTCCAAACAATATACTCATTTTTTTGCACTTATATATATGTTTCAAAACAATATACTCATTTCTTTGTACTACTATCCATATTTCCAAACAACAATATCATTAATCTTATGTCCAAACAATACAGAATATTAGATCTCACTCTTTTTAATATTTTTTCAAAATTTTCTTTCAAATTATTTAGATAAATTAAATAAATAAAATAATATATAGAACAATGAAAATAAACTTATTTTACAGGTTTAAATATTACATATCAGTTATCCATCGGTTTGATCTGTTATTCTCGAGTTTAAGTGATTACTTAAATATGGATATTTAAAAAAATCAAAATTGAATTATCGGATAACCGGTTTGACTACGGTCCGGATTGAATTTAAAAATACTTATCAATTTAAATGAAAAAATATTTTAAAAAAAAATCTTTCAAATTACCAAAATATTTGTTAAGTTATTTAGGAAGTTTTCATCATAAAATATATGTACTTACAAAGTTAAGACCAAAATTAAGTTTGAATTTGAAATAATCTACAAAATAAAGGCTAAGGCCAAAAATTCTAGAAATTTGTATATTATGTTAAAAAATTTAGATAATTATTAACATCAGAATAAGAAGTAATTAAAGTCTCAACTTATTTTTTTTAATGCAAACAGTTAACTTTGAATTTATTTTTGTACTTCAAACAAACGTACTGTTACTGTTTTCACTACACGATTGCATCTATATAATATACTGTTTAATGCTATTAATCCAAAAAACAGTTTTGATATTGTTCTTTAAACATAAAATCGAATTAGACAAACTCGAAACTATATAAACTAAATTATATAGAGTACATCTGAAAAAATAAAATCCGCGCATCTACGCGGATCATGATCTAGTATATTTTTAAAAGTAAATATGTTAGTTTTTCTGCATAAAATATTCTTACAATGTAGTATACCGCAACCACCAACATAGTGTTTCCTTTCATTTACGTATTGCGTTTTCAGTATTTAAACGCAAACGCAAAAACAAAAAACAAGAATAAACAAACAATCAAATACATAATATTTATTAACTATTACGTTCTCACATTTACATTATATATTCAATAGTGGGAGCTTGTGGATACGGTGATCTATTTAAACAGGGCTATGGTCTAGCCACGGCGGCGTTGAGCCCAGCGCTCTTCAACGAAGGCTACACTTGCGGGGCTTGTTACCAGATCATGTGCACTCGTGATCCGCAATGGTGTTTGCCCGGATCCATTATAATCACGGCTACAAATAAATGTCCAGCAAATTACTCCAAGACGACAGACATATGGTGCAACCCACCACAAAAACATTTTGATCTCTCAATGCCAATGTTCCTCAAGATCGCCAAGTACAAAGCTGGGGTTGTCCCGGTTAGATACAGACGTGTTCCTTGTTCGAAGAAAGGTGGTGTCAAATTCGAAACCAGCGGAAACCCGTATTTTTTAATGATCTTGCCGTACAATGTAGGAGGAGCCGGAGATATTAATGCCATGCAGATTAAAGGAAGCAAGACCGGATGGATAAACATGAGTAAAAATTGGGGACAGCACTGGACCACCAATATTGTATTGACAGGACAAGGTTTATCATTCAGGGTTCAAACAAGTGATGGGGTTAGTAAGCAATTTATGAATGTTGCACCAATGAATTGGGGATTTAAGCAGACTTTTGATGGAAGGATTAACTTCTAGAAGACTGATCTGAGATTTGTTAGCTATATGTCTAATGTCTTACAACTCTATAGAGTTATACAGATGATGTATCAGGTGCAAAATTTACAATAATTAAAAAGACAACATTAAATAAACGTGATTTTATTTACAATATGTTATCTGTTGAGTTCATGCATTTGTTTTACCTTTCAACATCACTAGTCTTTTGACATATCATTTTCGCTCTCTTTGATTCCAACTATTGAGCTTTTTTTGTTTTTTTTGCCATCTTTAGAGCAAGTCCATTGGTTAAAGACCCTAATGGGTTTTAATGAAAAAAATAGTAATTAATTTGATGATATGAAAAGTTAAGAATCTTTGTTAGTCTAATTATTTTTTTATCTTCTAATGAAAGAACCTCATTGAGATTCTTAAATTTTTTTTTTTTTTGCTCTCTTTTTCATTCATAATGCCAAATCAAGATTCCTAATGGATTCGAGCGGAAGACTTCCACTACAATAGAAAAACCGATGAGGAATGTTACATTTCCTTATATAAAAACAGAGCTTTTTATGGAGCTATTACTATAGTCATTACAACATGTGCACAGAGAGCACAAGGATACATATGACACTGCTACAGAAGTGAAAGGTTGATTCATATTTCACCATCATAGAGTTAAGATTCATATTACAAACTAGTAGCCCGTCCACAAAACCTTGTAAAACATTGAAAAAAATGGATAAAGAAAAGCAAACTATGTACCTGAGAAAATGCACATCGAGGCTCTAGGTGGTTCGTTGTCTAACATGTCTGCTGCTGGTATCTCCACCGCTGTCTGATACTTGAGCCCACACGCTCTGAGACTTGGCCCATCCCCTGCTGTTGCTGTCATCCTCGTAACCAGCCACCTCCTTCAGAAGCTCGGACTTGAGTGATAGACAATCATCCTTCAACTGCTGGTAAGCATCTGTCTCTAGAACAGCTGCAATATTGAAGCCAATTTCAAACACAACACTTTGATATAAAACAAATCACAAATCACTACCGATGCCTATATAAAAATGACAAAATATGAACTTTGTTTATATACACACTACTCATAATTATTATCCACATAGCCATACTTTCGTTTATTGCATTATCCGAGTTGAGCAAAATTCACCAACCAGAATCACATAAAAGGGTCACGAATCAGAAATAAAAAGGGGAAATAATCATTGAGATGGAAGTCCCGAATCTGTTGAGGTCACCATGGACAACGAAGAAGAAAAAAGAGTGATGAAAGATTTTGAGCCAATACCAAAGAAACAGGTATGGGGTGTTTACCAATTCTAAGAGCATGCAGAAAAAAAACGGAGAGTCTCCGTCCATAACTAATATTAAAAAAAACAAGATGCAAGAGAGAGAATGTAGAGAAAACGTAGAACGCTTCTTTAGCTGGAGACGTTTCTGCAGGCATGAGCAATGATTATGCCACTGTGTCAGTTCTTAATTGGTAGTTCTCTTTTCTTCATTTAAATTTATTTACATAAAAGTAATTATGTTTTATTTATTAGAGACATAGTTAAAGAAACTATCTACTAATTTTTTGAATCGAGTTTGGTCTGTTCAGTTAATGAGTGACATGACTCGTCGGTGGATTATATCAAAGGCGTTTTCTTACTATTTAGAGTCAAAGGTGTAGTTTTATTGATAAGAGAGTTCGGTTACAAATAAGGAAATGAGAGGCAAGGCGGAGTCTCGCGGGGAGCTCGGCCGTACCGTACAAGTCGGAAAATAAGTAAAGGAGTGAAAAACCCTAGTTCTAGCCGCCTTGTGAGTGAAAGTAATTTTTGGATCCTTTCCTCGTTAGCTCTTCTCTCCCTTTTATAGTATTTATGCCTTAACCTAGCGGACTCATCGCGGCTCCTGAGGGCTTTCGCCAAATGGACCTTGGTCGGCCCGCTAGTTTAAGCACTTTGCCTAAACCTCTTTAACTCGCCTAATTGCGGAGATTAGCCAAGCTAACTCAATCAGTCGCTGATTAACGGAGAGATCTTTTGTTGGGCCTGAACTCGTTTGGTATGAGCTCGTTATTATATGGGCCTAGTGAGGAAGTGTATTCCACAACCTTTAGTAAGTCCCCCAGATCCGCTACCGAGTTATAGTCTCAGTCGGAGCGGATTTCGTCAATGTTGGCCCATAGAATAACCATGTCAGTTAATGCGTTACGTCGTCTTCCCAAATAGCAGCTTTCCGACTCGAGGCTCATCCCATATGTTAATGCTACCCTCGAGTTCATTACTGGCGCGTTCGTGGTCGTTAGCTCGGAGCTCGGACGAGAACGTGAACAGTCGCGGGGTCCAGAAGTTTCTTGGGAATTGAAGCCCATTTAACTCGGAATGTGAACAGTTGCGGGCGGCTTTTAGGCTCAACTAGGCTCGAGTAGGCCTAATTAATGCCTTCGAGATTTGCGCCCCTCTTCCTTGCCTATAAACACCCTTCCTCTTTTCATTCTCATCACTTCTCCGTTTCTACATGTACTCCTTCTCTCCCTTCTCTCTAGTTTCTCCCTCTAAGCTTTCTTGTAAAATATATACGCTCGCCACGTCGGTAAGATGTTTCCACGAAAGAGATTGTCAGCGGAAGAAAAGGGGAAAGCGGTTGCTACAATGTTGGGGTCAAAATCACTACGACGGAATCAATAGCCAAAATTCCCCGCAAAAATACAAAAGAAATAGTTTTATAAAACCCGAAGATCGTTTTATAAAACACGAGAAGCCGTTTTATAAAACTCGAAGATCGTTTTATAAAACTCGCGAAGCCGTTTTATAAAACTCGAAGATCGTTTTATAAAACTCGCGAAGCCGTTTTATAAAACTCGAAGATCGTTTTATAAAACTCGAGAAGCCGTTTTATCAAACTCAAAGATCGTTTTTATAAAACTCGAGAAGCCGTTTTATAAAACTCGAAGGTCGTTTTATAAAACTCGAAAATCGTTTTATAAAACTCGAGAACCCTTTTATAAAACTCGAAGATCGTTTTATAAAACTCGCGAAGCCGTTTTATAAAACTCGAAGATCGTTTTATAAAACTCGAGAAGCCGTTTTATAAAACTCAAAGATCGTTTTTATAAAACTCGAGAAGCCGTTTCATAAAACTCGAAGGTCATTTTATAAAACTCGAAGATCGTTTTATAAAACTCGAGAAGCCGTTTTATAAAACTCGAGGATCGTTTTATAAAACTAGAGAAGCCGTTTTATAAAACTCGAAGATCGTTTTATAAAACTCGAAGATCGTTTTATAAAACTCAAGAAGCCGTTTTATAAAACTCGAAGATCGTTTTATAAAACTCGAGAAGCAATTTTATAAAACTCGAAAATCGTTTTATAAAACTCGAAGATCGTTTTATAAAACTCGAGAAAAACGTTTTATAAAACACGAGAAGCCGTTTTATAAAACTCAAAGATCGTTTTTATAAAACCGCGAAAAACCGAAACAGCCACGAAGCGCGAACTAGTCGCAACTAGTTTGCCTGCTGGCGAACTAAGCAAGGCTGGCTTAGTTCGCCAGCAGGCGAACTAGAGGCTCACCAACTAGTTCGCCTGCTGGCGAATTAGAGGTCTCCCGGATCTCCCGCGGCCCCGATTCGAACCTTACGTCCTTCGACACGGTCACATTCTGAACCACGGCCAAAATTTCTCTCGTTTCATCTTGATCCGACTTATCGTTTGAATTCTACGATAAAAACCGTAAAACCCCTATTTCCCGGAAAGAACTCAAAGAAATCGTATAAAACGGTAATGGTTAAGCAAAACACTGAACATCGCCTAAACTATACGATTTATCCGAGGTTCTTCGTTAAGATTATTAAAAACGCGTTTTTAATAAAAAACGTCGAGAGAATCGTAAAAAACGGCATCGGATCAGGAAACTCGTTAAAGTCGTAAAACGGTTTTTATCGTAAAACGGCCGGAAATGTCCTAAAACACGATAAAAACCCATCTCGCGACGTTAACGAAATCAAAACCAAAGATACGATAACGTTTTGACGGTTTACTCGCAGACGGAAGATAAAAGGCAAGTTTGAAGATAAATAGAAGATTTCCGCGGAAGAAAAGGAAGGATCGACAGATATGGAAAGTTTCCGATATATTCGGTTTCGAGCGAAATGGAAAGATCAAAATCGCTTAAGGAGTATATAAGGGGGAGGCATAGGGCAGAAGCTGGGAAACGATTTCCAGAGCTCTCACCACCAAAACTAGCATTTAGGAATATTTCCGTTTTCTGTTAGCGAGCTGCGTCTCAATTAGGGTTTTTCGTTCTTAAGTTTTCTGCTGCTCTTTTTGTACCAGTTCTTACGTAGATTTGGAATAAGAACCTCTTTGCTTTCAATTTCGTTTATTCTTTTAATATTCTACGTTTATTGTTTTCTTAATCTTCATTGTGCGGTTCTGCAGATAGTCGGTTCCTCGGGAAACTTAGGGTTTTCCTGAAGTTTCCTTTTTTACGATTTATTGACAGTAAGTGGATTTCGGTTCCCACAGTTTGGCGCTAGAAGGAGGGGGGGGGGTCGGATCTATCTTGCACCGAAGCCGCAACATGTCCAACGAAGAAAGATGACTGGTGACAACCAAACTCGCAACGAACGCGATAACGTTGAAACAACACCACCACAAGGTGCGTATGCGGCCAACGCTACAAACGCTAACGCCGAGACCCTCGAGAAGATGCTTTCCGAGTTTAACAAAAAATCGGAAGAACAGGAAAAGCTCATTGGTTCGCTCGCAAAACGGGTAGAAACCCTAACCGCGAAAGCCCGAGCAATTCGCCCCCGCGGAACTACTAAGATCCGCGGAAGGAGGATCGACTTTGGCGCTCCTACGGATCGTCCCAGAACCGAGCAGGGTAACTTACCGAAAAAGGACTCCGGAAAAGAAAATCCTGACGCGACGCTGAACGAATCGGAGAAACCTCCTACTCACGAACAGGAGACCGAGGGCGACGGCATCGAAAAGGTTAACCTGAAGACAAGCGACCAGGCCGATTAATCGGACGAAGACGCTGACGTCCATCCTAGGAGAAGAAAGACGCGAAGTCCCCTGCCGGAGTCTTCTCCCGAACGTTCTTTTACTAGAGACGAGGGGGAACTCGACTTCGCGCGATACACAAAAACCACGGAGGAGTGATCTCCGGTCACTCGTAGAAAACGCCGACAAGGTCGGAAAACTGCTGGCGGTCTGACCGAGATTCGCGATCTCCGCGAATATATCACCAAAATGGCCGCAGCGGTAAAAGCGGTAAAATCTCAGATTCACCACGCTACCAGCACCGCACCTGAAATCGATCGGCTACAGTACGAATCTCGGAAGACGCCCTTCACGGCTCGCATCACCGAGATCAAACTGCCCGATCCCGGAAAACTTAAGGTGCCGACTTACGACGGGACGTCCGATCCCAAAGCGCACCTACAAGAATTCCAGATCACCATGGGACGAGCCAAGCTCAAGGACCACGAAAAAGACGCAGGCTACTGCCGCCTCTTCGTCGAAAACCTAGAGGGAGCAGCGCTCGAATGGTTCGCCAAACTTAGGCACAATTCGATCGGAAGTTTCCGTCGACTGGCTTCGGAATTCCTTAAGCAGTACTCGATGTTCATTAACCCGGAAACCTCCGATGCCGACCTCTGGAGCTTGGGGCAGAAGGAGGACGAATCTCTCCGCGATTTCATGAGTAGGTTCAAACTCGTCATGGCTAGGGTTAGCGAGATTAGCGACAACGCCGCCATCGACGCGTTAAGGAAATCGCTCTGGTATAAATCGAAATTCCGCAAGTGGATAACTCTCGAGAAACCGCGAACGATCCAGGATGCGCTCCATAAGGCCACTGACTTCATAACCATCGAAGAGGAGACTAAAATCCTGTCCGAAAAGCACTAGCCGACGAAAACATCTGCGAAGGATAACGCGTCCGAGCAGAAGCAGAAAAAGAGGAACTCTCGTAACGACAAATTCGTCCATCACGAGGCACAGGATCTCCAAGGGGCGCATAACTACGCCATCAACTCCGGTTCGGAGCAAGGGCGAACTACGGGTAACACGTGGACGAGAAATTCGAATTACAACGAGAATTCTTTCTGCGACCTCCACCAAACCCGCGGGCATTCCACCGTGAACTGCAAAGTTCTCGGCGCCAGACTTGCCGCAAAATTGGTCGTGGGAGAACTTTCCGAGATATCCAGTGTCAAGGATCTCATCCGCGATTTGGATCGCCTTCCGAAGAACGACTGGAACGCGCGAGCAGAAACTCCGCCTCGAGGAAACCAGTCAGGCGAAAAACGCGGACGAAGACAAGACGAGAAGGGTAACGACGCTAACCGCCGAAAAATCAACATGATTATCGGCGAATCGCAATACTACAACGACACCGTCTCTTCTATAAAATCCTACCAACGCAAAGCTGAAACCGGCTCGAGTTGGAAGATGCCGATGGATGACTCTCCGAAAGGAGTGATCTCATTCGACGACGCTGAAACCGGCGGAATCGACCAACCTCACGCCGATCCTCTTGTCATCGACTTAGTAATAAGCGATTTAGAAGTCGCTCGGATCTTGGTCGATACCGGGAGTACTGTCAACGTGATCTTCCGCAACACGCTGGCACGCGTGGGAATCGATCTCTCGGACATCGAGCCAATTCCAAAACCGTTGACTAGTTTCTCCGGCGAGACATCAATGACCCTGGGATCAATCCGACTACCAGTCGCCGCGAAAGAAGTTACGAAAATCGTTAACTTTGCGGTAGTCGATTTCCCGGCTCTCTACAACGTGATTATGGGAACGCCTTGGATAAATTCCATGAAGGCGGTTCTGTCAACATATCACTTAGGCATCAAATTCCCAACACCTACGGGAGTCTTTTCTGTTGGTCTTTTCTGATGATTTGTTGGTCTTTTCCGATGGATCTAGACACTCTATCACTGGGATCAAAAAGGTGCTATCTGTGTTTAAAGAATGGAGTGGTTTGGATATGAATGTAGCAAAGTCGGAGATATTTTTGGCGAGTATTCTGAAATTGAAGCTTCGGTTATTGCTGATATTTCTGGGTATAAGATTGGTTCCTTTCCCACCAGGTACCTAGGACTTCCACTTAACCCAAGCAGGATAAGCTATGCCACGATCCAGCCTTTTATGAATGCTAAACCACATTGTTGGACAGTGAATACATTGTCATTTATTAGCAAGGTCATGTTAATAACATCTGAGGTGTATGGTATGGTAAATTTTTGGAGTTCGGTATTCT